AACTCACAGACATTCACCTGCCTCTGCCTCCCAAGTGCTGGGCTTAAAGGTGTGCATCACTGCGCCTGGATGATAATAAATATTAAAAAAAAAAGGTGTCTGTGACATGTCAGTGGTTGAGATTCCCAGTGATGAGATACAGATACTAATACTGCATCAGGCTTGTTGTTGTTGTGTATGGTGTACATGTGCATATGCAGACATGTACACATGCATGTGGAAGCCAGAGGTTGATAGGAGGTGTCTTCCTCAATCACTATCCACCTTATTTTTTATTTTTACTTTTAAAATTCTTATTTTTTTTTAATTTTTTATGTGTGTATGTGTGTGCTTGCTTGTCTGTATGTGCACCAGGTACATGTAGTACCTGCAGAGGCCAGAAAGGGGTGTCAGATCTCCAGGAGCTAAAATTACATGCAGTTGTATGCTGCCTGGTGTGGGTGCTAGGAACCAAATCCAGGTTCCCTGCAAGAGCAGTAAGCACTCTTAACCACCGAGCCATCCCTCCAGCCCCTTTAAATTAATTTAAAGTTAGTGTACAAAATAATGACATTTTCCTATCATCCATCTATCATCTATTTATCTATCATCTCTCTATCATCTATCTATCATCTATCATCTATCTATCTATCTATCTATCTATCTATCTATCTATCTATCTATCATCTATTATCATCTTTCTATCTATCTATCTATCATCTATCTATCTATCTATCTAATCTATCTATAATCTATCTATCTGTCATCTATCTATCTTCTATCATCTATCTATCATCTATCATCACTATACTTTGTTCTTATTTATCCCCCTCTCACATTGTCCTCCCCCAACACCAATGTCCCTCTCTCACTGGGCCCCTCCCACCATGCAAATCATCTTCATGCCACATATATTCCATTACACTTTTACCCCTTCACCCACCTTTAAAATTTCTTTTTCCTCTCATTCATGGTCTCTTTTCTACTTTCATCAGACACACACACACACACACACACACACACACACACACACATAAATTTAAATCTAGATTTTCTGTCTGGGAGAAAACATAGAGCATTATCTTTGGAAGTCAGACTTACTCCCGTGAACCTAATCTTTAGTTCCATTCATTTCCTTGAAACTGTCCAGAGCCTAACTGACTGGCCCACTGGCTGCTCAGGCAGGGCTCCCTGGGATGTTAGTACTCAATGAATGCTTTGGGATCTTGAACCAGTCATTATTTGTCTCGTGTCTTTGGAGTCCACCCTACTCTGGGGAGATTTTTATTTATCCATTCACCTGTTGATGGACATCTAGGCTGGTTCCATTTCCTGGATATTGTGAATAGCACAGCAGTGATCCTGGATGTGCACACATATCTCTGTGGCATATTGACTTAGAGCCCTTGAGGAGTGGCATAGCTGGGTCTTATGGTAGCTGTATTTTTAGTTTTCTTCAAGAAACCCCTCATGAATTCCCATAATGACTGCATCAGTTTATATTCCCATCTAGAGTTCTTCTTTCCTCACATCCTCACCAGCATTTGTTTGATGATAACCATTCTGACTGGGTGAAATGGGATCTCAAAGCAGTTTTAATTTGCATTTTCCTGATGGCTAATGGTGTTGAATAATCTTTAAGTATTTATTAGTCCTTTGTATTTATTCTTTTGAGAACTCTCTGTTCAGTTCATTAATCTATTTACTGATTGGATGCTTTTGGGGGTTTGTTGTTCAATTTTTGCAGTTTTTAAAAAATATTTTATTTTTTTTATTTTTTATGTGTATGAGTGTATTGCCTACGTGTATGTGAGAGCACCCGTGTCGTGCAATGCCTCGGAGGTCAGAAGCGAGCTTCAGACTCCCCTGGAACTGGAGTTAAGGACAGTCTGTAGCCACCATATGGGTGCTGGGAATTGAACCAGGGTCCTCTGTAAGAGCAGTAAGTGCTCTTAACTGCTAAACCATCTCTCCAGCCCCCAATATTTGCAGTTTTTAAAAATATATTACAGAAAGCCGGGCATGGTGGCGCACACCTTTAATCCCAGCACTTGCAAGGCAGAGACAGGTGGATCTCTGTGAGTTCGAGGCCAGCCTGGCCTACATAGTGAGTTCCTGGCCAGCTGGGGCTACAGGGAGACCCTGTCTCTAAAAGACATATATATATATAGCAAGCATTAGTCCCTTGATGGATAGGTGGCAAAGATTGTCTCCCAGTCTATAGACTGTCCCTTCACTGGTGAATGCTTCCCTTGCTGTATAGAAGATTACTGATTCCATGTAATCCCATTTGCTAACTCTTGGACTTTTTCCTGTCCTATTGCAGTCCTTTTCAGACAGTCTTTGTCTATGCCTATTATCTTGAAACATATTTCCCATGTTTTTCTCTAGTAGTTTCAGAGTTTCAGGTTTTACATCTTTGATCCATTTTTTTAAATTGATTTTTGTTTGGGATGAGAGATAATGATCTCAGAATAGTTTCATTCTTTTACAATGGGGGAAATCTAATTTTCCAAGCAACATTTAAGATGCTGCCTTTTATTAAGTATATGTTTTTGACATCTTGGTGAAAGAAAAGAGGTGGCTTTATCTCTGGTTTTTCTGGGTCAGCTATTGTATTCCTCTGGTCTATGCTTCTGTTTTTGTGTCAGTACTCTGGTTTGTGTTACTATGGTCCTGTATTGCAGTTTGAGATCAGGTGTTGTGACGTCTCCAGCACTGTTCTTTTTGCCTAGGATTTCTTTGGCTATTTTGGGTCTTTGGCGCTTTCATATGGATGTCTTTTTGCCTGGCTACAATTTCGAGCACTGCGTTGGATAAGACTGGAGAGAGTGAATACCCTTGTCTAATTCCTGATTTTAGAGGAAATGCTTTCAGTTTTTCCCCATTTCGTATAATGTTGGTTATAGGTTTGCCATGTATACCCTTTACTATATTGAAATATGTTCTGTATATTTCTCATTTCCTCAGGGATTTATTATCATAAAGGGATGCTGAATTTGTCAAAGACCCCTCCTGTGTCTTTTGAGATGACTATGTGATTTCTGTTTTTTCTAGTTTTTTAATCCAGTCAGTCTGTACCTTACCTCTTTATTGGTGAGTCAAGGTACTTTACATTTTAAGATTCTTATTGAGAGATGCAGTTGTGTTGGTTGGATTGGTTGGATTATTATTTGCTCTTTTTCTTTCTCTCTTATGAGTGTTAGGACTTTGTTGGTTTACTGTGTAAGACACAACAGTTTGCTAGTTTCCTTTTGTTCATCTGTTCCTCTTATGCAATTCATTCTCTCCTGTGATTGAGACCTTCTTCCTCGTATGTGTATAGCATTCCTCTAAGTGTTTTCTGCAGGACTGGCTTGATGTTCATTAACTGCCCTAGTTTGTCACTATTTCTCTGTCAACTTTTAAATAGCTTCACTGGTTGTGGCAGCTGAAAGTTAAAAATCTCTGCTGTCCATCATGAATAGATAGGTTTAAAAATAGGGAAAGGTAAGTAGCCTTTGTTGTATTGTCACCCTGTGCTCTGCCTGACCTATTCATTGTAACAGGGGGCAGCTGATGACCTATGAATTGAGAAGATGAAGTCCATTGGCTTGAGAAACATCCTATTTCTTTATTTTTATTAAATGTGTAATTCCCACAGTATATAAGAGATTTTTAAAAAGGTTTAGACAATATGTGTTCAATAGGATCATCTTACACCTGTTCTGGCTTCTAATACTTTAGTGGCAAGGTGAAAGGGATCTTGGAGCATCTAGTCTGAGACACATTTTCCCAAAGAGGGAGTTATTTATCCAGAGCATACTGTTGAAATAATGAGACATTCTAAGAGGGCTTTAGTTTTATCCTAAATAGAGAAAATATTCTAGGAGTTTGAGGAGAGAGAGAAGGCTAGGATGAAGATGGGCTCAGCAGGAGGTGGGAAGGAGAGCTGGGAGACCTTAGAGGTAACTTCAGGATACCTGCTTCCAGGGTTTTATTAATTCCTCAGGATCTGTTTAGAATCTATGATTCAAGACACAATCAATTTGCTTCCCTTGTGTACAAGAATAGGTTCCAAAACAAATTTCACAAGATTTTATATGTATGTTGGCTCTTTTGTGTTCTGGGGAATTCTGTTATTCCCAGTCTCACAGAATCCTGGAGCCGTCCTTAAATCCCTGGACAGCTGTTTGATCAGGCAGAGGGTTAGGCCTAGTTACTATATTCAGCCTAGAAGGCAAAACCAGCGCCTTGGGAATTTATCAGGAGGCACAATTTAAAGTCAATTTAAGATTCTTTTCTGGGAACTGATTACCCTGGACTAAGATTCAAAATGTTTTTCAGTTCTGGTGTTTTCTGCCATTCCTCCTGGATATCTAAGCCTGACAGTCGGGATGACTGTAAGAGCAGGATCTTGATGTCACAACTATACCCACGCAATCCCACAGAGTTTGATGGAAGAGTACACCCCGGTCTTGAATCTTCTTTTTGGACGTCTTCACATCTCTGAATCTTAGCTCTTTCCATTAAAAATTTTATTTACTTTTTAAAATTTTTATTAATTAATTAATTATATTTTATGTGTATGAGTGTATTGCCTGCATGTATGTACTTGCACCCGTGTCGTGCAGAGCCGGCAGAGGCCTGAAGAGGGGGTTGGACCCCTGGAACTAGAGTTAGAGCCGGTTGTTAACTGCCATGTGGGTGCTGAGACTGGAACCCGGGTCCTCTGCTAGAGCAGCCGGTGCTCTTAACTGCTGAGCCATCTCTCCAGCCCCAGCTCCCTCCATTGAAAGTGGGAACAATCTATAGCTAGAATGTAAACTGGTTTCCGTAGAGGTTCCACCGAGGACGAATGATGAACTTCCCTCCTAAGAATCTTTCCACTTTTCAGGATCCGTGCTAAACCCAGATAAAGCACAGGCAAGTTCCGGCCAACCATGCAGGAGGCAGCAAACTGCAGGCGGGGTGGTGGGGCTAAGCACCGCGCTCCGGGGCGGGGCTGAACGGAGGGAGGACGGACAGCCGGTGGCCGCGCGTGCGCACTGACAGAGCTCTGCTCAGTAAGGGAAGGTGGGCCGCTGGGCGAGAGTGTGCTGGCACGGAGTCTGCTTCAGGAGTGAGGTACTGCGCTTGCGCATTGCTGTTGCTCCGCCGTTGTTTCCTTTCTTTTTAACCTTAGGGAACATTCAGGGCTGTGGATGACGTGTGCATACCACCATGAGACTATTTTGCCCTATATTTTCTTGCAAAGGCGCAGAAATCAAAGGGCCTTTGTGAACTTTCTCCCGCCCGACAGCACACCACAATGCCAAGGGTGAACATGCATGTGTATGCGCATGTTCAGGGGATACAGGCTGCCCTGGCAGTTTCCCGAATTTCTACTCCTCGAAGACCTAGATCTCTCATCTACCCGGCCTTTCACCTTCGTGTTGCTGGGGTGTTGGTGAGGGTTGCTGGGCAGGCCCATAACTTGCTAAAATAGTTGCTAGGATTCAAACTTTCCCACCCACATTTCACTGGGAAATGGCTTTCATGCCCAAGGAGCTCAAGGGTAGCAATTGTTTAAGTCTCAGCATGTGAAAAATGTGCATACAAAGTTACTGTGGTTAAAGAGCATGATCATTTCTGCACAACTCATACGTAGTTGTATAATTTTGAAGCCAGATTGATGTAAAGTCATTTCTCTATGGTCTGTTTTATGCCAGAGCACAGGGATTAGACGAGCCTTCTACAATCACCAGATCTCGGCTCATAAAATGAACCTCTTCCAGAAAGCATATTAAGTTCTTGTGGTAGAGTGCGCTTCCCACGGCTGGCTGGTGAGGGAGCAGAGAGGCAGAGTTTTCGTCTTCCCTTACTTTAGGCTCTTCTTTTCCAACCAAAGTAGTTTAGCAAAACGGCAAATCTGAATGGCACTACTTTTTTTTTTTTTCTTTCTTTCTTTCTCTTTGAGACAGAGCCTTGTAGCCCCAGCTGTCGTGGAAAGCACTATGTAGACCAGGCTGGCCTTGAACTCACAGAGATCCACCTGCCTCTGCCTCCTGAGTTCTGGGATTAAAGGCGTGCACCACCACGCCCAGCATGAATGGCACTACTTTTCTTTAAATCCTTTTAAATTCCTTTTGCCTCCAGAGGTGTTTCTTTGCAACCCTGCTGATACTCCCTGCTCTCCAGCACCATCTACTCCATGAGCCTTGTGAAGCTCTTTGTTCTCCAGTTCTGTGAGTCCATGCTGTGTCCCATGGTTTGCTGTGGTCTAGCACACATCACAGATGGGTGCTGCATTGTGAACAAGTGCATGTACACACCAGAGACTTAGGGGATGGGTCTAGACTCTGAGAATTCCTCATCTATCCCCATATCCTGTGCCAGACTTTGTCTTGATTCATTCATTCATCAGTCTGTAAAATATTCTCATTCATATCTGTAGTAGGCTACAAATCAGCAGTCACCACTGGCTTGTGAAAAGCAAGGAAGGATGCTTTATTTACGGCTGGGCTGTCCCTGGACTCCGGGTGAGTGCTCAGAGAACAGTGTCGACTCACAGCTACAGTTAGTTTTTATAGACAAGTGCAGTGGTCAGAGTTTAATTTCCAAAAACATTCAGTCATAATCCCCTATCCGAGCTGAAGCAAGCAAGCACGTTTACAGAAGCAGGTGTATGCAATTTAGCAATTGCCTTTGTTCTTGATCAAGACATTCTATGGTATTTGCCGTTATTTGCCTCCCTGATATTGTGCATTGTTTTTGGCTTCAAAGGTTGCAATGAAATAACAAGTACAAAATTCACCTTACATTTAACTATTAACTTATTCAGAAATGGGAGGTCACTTTAACGTGGCATTCCTTTGGTTTAATTAGGGACCCTCACCACTTCATTATCATTCAAATGCTTTATGAGAACATTGTTTGGATTCAAACACTAAACTAACCAGAAAGGAACCTTTATGGTTATAATTGAGGAAATTAGAGTGATGAAGAGCAGGCAGAATAATGGAATTTAAAAATGTGGTGTAGAGGCTGAAGAGATGGCTCAGGGGTTAAGAGCACTGGCTGTTCTTGCAGAAGACTCAGGTTCAAATCCCAGCACCCACATGGCAGCTCACAACCATCTGTGTAACTCCAGTTCCAGGAGATCTGAAGACACGGGTGCACTTATACACATGCAGGCATAACACTCATACACATAAAATAAAAATAAATACAAAAATGTGTGTGGTAGGAAAATTGTATTATATTTAGAAAAAAGATCCTTAATTTTTAAAGTGCTATAATAATATTTACAAAGTGCTGTGCTGTCAGACACTGATTCAACATGGTCCTTTGGTAGTAAGAGGAATAAACAGGACTATGTATGAGATAGTTTAGCTCTTTAGCTCACAGATTTCTACACATTTGATGGCTTAACAGAAATGCATTCTCTCTTTACCTGTGAAGGCCAGAAGTCTTCAGTGAAGGTGTCAGCATCCTCTCCTTCCTCTGGAAGCCCTGGGGGAGAATCCTTCCCATGCCTTCCAGCTTCTGGTGGCTCTTGATCGGCACTGATTTCTGTGGTTTTGTGTATCTGATTCTTCTGGATAGAAATGTTCACTGAGGGGGAGGGGGAGCCTCACTAGGCTCTGCAAACTCACAAGAAAGTTACAAGATCTCACAAGAAAGAAGACTTGTGAGGCTCGTTCCCAAGGTTGTATAAGCAATCAACAGTTGCTGGGTGCGAGGAGATTCTTCTGTGGAGCTGCTGGCCAGTTGTACAGGGAACTCCGGGGAAGCAGCTTTTGTGACTCCTCACCCATACTCCAGTGAGCTTTTAGGTGATATAGCTGTCATCTTTTGCATCGGTCCTCACCCACGTTCCTGTAAGTAACTCCAGTACTGAACTTTGGTTCAGGAAGCTGGACTTATTTGTTCTGTCAGGAGTAAATAGATGCTTCTCAACATCTCAGCAAAAGTCAGTCAACATGTGACTTCTGACCATGCTGTTCTAATCTCTGTGTTCCATGACTTCATCATGTTTGTGTCTGTATTAGTTACCTCTCTGTTGCTGTGATAAACATCACAACCAAGGCAACTTATAGAAGGAAGCGTTTATTGGGTTTATGGCAGAGGGATATGAGTCCATCATGGCAGGGAGGCATGGAAGGATGCAGCTGGAGCAGAAAGCCAAGAGCTTGTATCTTTAAGCATCTATAGGAAGCAGAGAGAGGGAGAGACAGATTGGAAAAGGGGCAAGCTATGTACTCTCAAAGCCTGTTCCCTGTGACATACTTCCTGCAGCACAGCCACACCTCCTAAATCTCCCAAAACAGTGCCACCAACGGAGGACAAAGTGTTCAAATACTTGGAGCTGATGGAGGACATTCCTCATCCAAATCATCACAATATCTCTTCTCTTTCTTGTGTAGACACTTGTCATTAGATTTAAGCTTTAGCTGGATAATACAGGATCTTTTCAAATTCCTTAAATATATCTGCCAAGTACCTTTTCCTAAATAAGGTCACATTCACAGTATCCAGAGATGTTGACATGAGCCTGCCTTTTGGGGTGACCATATTAACTTAACCTTACTCCATAGTATGGAAGAAAAAAGTCATTGGCAGGTTGATGAATATTCTGAGGTTTGTTAAACTATTCTATTTTTGCATTTGTTAGAAAATTTAAAGTTAACTTTTTTGAATTGCTACTATGGTCAGGATATATTCCAAACTGTGGGCTCTTTTGCTTGATTTATTTTTGAAGTCCTATGGAAGCTAGGAGAAGCCCTTCCTGGACTGGTCTTTGGCAGCTTTCGTTATCCTCAATGTTCCATGGCAGTGAGTTGTGGCAGCAGGCAGGTGGAAGGTGCGAGCAGCAGCAGATGGTGCCCTCTAGTGTTAAAACTCTTGTGTAGCTTTAGGAACCCAGGATTCCTCAGACCTTGGCAATGGCCAGTGTTGCAGTTCCTGGGCCCAGGGCACCTGAGACCTTTCGGGTTGAAAATGTGACAGCTCTCTGGAGCTCTTCTAATGACCAGGAATTGCTGCTTTTCCTTCTCTGGCTCTTACAGCCTTCGATCCTCCTTCAGTCCTAGCTTTCTTTTTTTCTCTCTGCCCCCTCTCCTCTCTCTCTCTACCCCATCTCTCTCTCCCTCCGTCTAACCCTCCCTTTCCCTTTCCCCTTTCCCTTTACTCTCCCCCACCCCTCTTTTTGAGATAGGGTCTCATGTAGGCCATTCTGACCCTGAACTTAAACTAGCTGAGGATGACCTTGAATTTGTGATCCTCCTGCTTCTCTTCCTCCCAGGTGCTGGGATTATAGGCATGCACCACCATGACCAGTTTTACGTGATGTTGGGAGCTTGAACTCAGAGCCTTGTGTGAGGTGAGCACTCTATCAGCCGAGCTGCATTCTCAGCCCTTCAGCCTCAGATGTTTGCTCTCTCTTGCCTTCTCTCTATTTCTTCTGCCCCCTTCTTCTTGCTCTGGTTGCTCCCTTGAACTGTCTGGGGGGTCTCTTATTGTCATTATGGGCTTCGTGGCTGCTGCTGCTGCTGCTTGCTCTCTGCTGCAAAAGTCTGCAGAATCCTGAGTTCCTAGGCCATGGAAGAGTTAGACCACTAGAGGGCACCACTGGCTGCGGCTTCTTCTGGTGCCAGTTCAGCCCACACTACAAAACGTAGACTGAACAAGACCACTCAAGAGAAGCTTGTTATTGGACCGGATGTTTCAAAATCAAGCCAGGAAGTACATGAGGGTACTTTCTGGATAAATCACCAAGTTAGCTGAACGGCCTGCTTGTATATCCAGGGGAAGGGATGTTTGTACCAATCACAGCAAACATTGCGTGCAAGTGAAGGCTTCTATTTGCACCAGATGCAGCATTGCAGCATTGTCCCCTTTACCCCAGCACAGCAGTTGCTCTACTAGGCCACAAGGGGAGATCTCGCTCCTGTAATCCCAGGCCTAGGAAGAAATGGTTGCAGGAACACCTAGAGTTCACAGATGCTTGTGACATAAAAAAGTCTGGTACAAACTACTTGAAATTGGCTGAGACCGAGGCTGTGCCTTCAGGAACCGAACAATAAACTTCAATTCTTGTGTGGTTTCCTCAAAGCATCTATGGAATGTTCAAAATGGGGGCGTTG